TGTGTTGACCTTCAACACTGAGTCACCACCCAGGTAAACATTCTATGCAGCCATTGCCTCAATGACGTTCATCACTCGCCACGTGCTGCTCTCTAATCTCTTAGCTTCAGAAGCTATTAATTTTAGAATATTTTTTACAGAAAAGATAAAATGGGTCATCTAATACGATATAGAACTGATTTATTGCTTTGCGGTCCTTTCTTCTCAAAAATGCTGCTATTTTGCCAATATTCCATGGCTTTGTGGAAGGCCAGATGCATGCGTGCCACTAATTAGCAGCCGTTTACTAGTGCACAGGCAGTTTTTGTAAGAGGATCATCGGACGGCCCCAATTTGGCGGCATTACGCATTCAACTGCCTCCACCGATGAGCATCAGTGAAATGCGGGCTCATTCGTGGAACTATTGATTATTTTGTTATTTATTATTTCATACACTAATAACATTAAAAATAAACAATTTGAAGAGTAGTAGAGAATAGAGGCAGTCGGAAGTCGAACAAGCCGCCCTTCTAATCGGCCATCATTGCCAGCTTTTCTGTTCACTCTTCTTCTGAAGTAGTCGTTCCTATCACAAATTGTACTGCTGATTGCTCTCCCAAGCAGTCACCTTTCCAGGTGGGAAGGGAGAGGCTGGGTGGAAGGGAAAGGGAAGCGGTGAGCTAGAAAGGGAGGGTGATTTATTACCAATTTGGCGGTCATAGGCTGACAATGAGAAGTGAAATCGAATTGGATTTCATCTTATACTTGATTTGGAAAGTAGCCAATTGTCCAGAATTTTGGCTACTATTTCAAAATGAATATTTCTGGGAATTTCTGTATATTTCCAAAACCTCTGCACTGAAACCTTTCGCTCACGCATGAGGGAAGCAATCTATCATCTCGGTTGGTCTGAGTCATTAGTTACCACATTCAGAGAGTGCCTATAAGTCATGTTAACCTTTCCAAGAAGGAAATTGCTCGAAAACTCTTCACAGACAAGTCACATGTCTGCGCAGTCCAATTTCTTTGGTATTTGTTCAGCGAATAACTCGACGTAGCATTTTTTATTCCCAAAGCATCCTGTCCTTATGGTTACCACCCCTCCACAGCTGTGTCAACACAACAGCAAGCAAAGATCAGATTACAGTTGTCGTTTGAGGGTGCACGGTGGGAGCCGGCCAAGGCCAGTAGCCCCTTCTCTTTCATTTCCACATCTATCGACCGGTTTTGTTCGTAGTAGACATGTACTTTGTTTATCTGTGTATTAATTTTCCTGGCATTTATGTTTAATTTGTTTATGTTTATTCGCCTAAATTCCACATGCTGGCCGCTATGCTAACCATATTGCTCAACTTAGACTCCCTAATGGAATTAGAGGAACACAGCACGTTACTGACCGAAACAGGCAGAGTACTTGAAATAAAAGGATTTTTTTGCTAGGAAATCTAAAGCCTGGGATGGAGAGGAGAATCCATGGGTTTACTTGAAGTTCTACTGAATCTGCAGTCCTTTGTAGGGGACGGCCTTCACTTTGTGAACACTCGGCACTTTGCCACAGTCCGATACTTGACTTCCCACCCATTCGCATCTTGCGGTACCTTCCGAATTGCGTCGCGTGCGCTCGCGCGGCGGCGCATCCCACACCTTGTTTTTTTCTCGTTGCAAACTGTTTCTGACATTCATATCTTCTTCCAAAACACTCTAAGTGAGCAATTGCTGACATCCCAGAAATGGCTAAAGACGTCGAAAAAGCGAGAATATCTCGGGGGACCAACAAACTTATTTTTCGATGGCCGTCATAATTCACCGCCTCCTTGAGCGCTTGCTTGCAAGCACACCAAAGCTAGTATCGACAACCGACGAGTAATTGCTTTCTGAGAGGTGCACTTAATTAGCCACTCGTTTGTCTATGAGGCCCGTCTATTGGTGAATTATTTATGTCGGTTACCTAGATGACAACGAGGGTGTCATTGATGCTTCATGTTCTTGATCGTTGGTGCCTTAGGTTGTTGTTCGGGCATTCCTCGTCGTCTGCAAAGCACAAACAGAACACGTTTTGTTTACTGACCTTCAGATGGAGGCAGGAGGCATCCACTCCGGCCCTATTCGGTCACCGACACCCGGGAGGAAACCCTACACTGCCTGCTTGCTGCATACTACTTCTCGATCAGAAACAATTTCCTTGCAGCATTCTTGTTTTTCCAATTTTTGAAGCATTTGTCTATGGAGGTGTAGGACTGGCAAGAGGGGCTGCCGTCATAGCCACAGGACTATCAGAGGCCCGAGTGTTTGACATCCAGCTTGCCTGAGAGATTAGAGATTGAAGCTCAGATTACCCTCGCTCGTATTTGTTCAGTATAGGTGCGCAATGAAACGCTCGAACGATTTCGGATGAAAATCAAAAGCCCGACGCTTAGTAGAGGGCTTGTTCGGAGCCGGCTGAGCCAGGTTGCCCTTTACCTTTTCATGGCGATTCTCGATAGCTTCGACCTTGACCTATTTTTATAGGCATTGTTAAGCCGAAAATTGGGGGTTCTTTGGCTAATAATGGGTATCAGAGATGAAAAATCTCGTGGCCATGGTAACCTATAGGGGATTGGTGTCTGGTCCGCATTACCGTAGCGCAGGTGACCCATTCAGAAAGGTCTGCTTTACACATGCGCTTTCCTGTCGCTTTAGTGCCGTGAAATTTTTTAATAGTAAAGCAGTACTGTAATTAAAGCCTGGGAATACCATAGGTCACTCAGGAAGTCAAACTCGGGTCACTTTGTTGAAAATTTATCTTTTGGGGCATCGTGCTCGCCTACGTCATTTATTTTTTCACATGCTTATACTGCAGTACTCCTTTTGTCCTCGTCGTTTGGTTCCTCGTTCTTTCCTGGTCCCAAAGCAATTTTTTGTGCCATATAAAAGCAACGATTTTCGGTCAACAGAGCAATTTAGATGTGCATCTTTTCGGCATGTGGACAGATCGTTTTCGGCTCTGTGATGGGCTTATGCTTAATTCTGACTGCAGTTGCGACCTTTGATGGAGAAGTACGTTTGTTATGATTTCTTTATAACCCAGTGGGTCTGATATCCACAAATTAGCGTCAAAATGTGCAGGACAAAGAAATTCAGCAACTGACAATGTTGAGTCTTTCAGGACGGACAGACCTAAGTTTTGATGATTTTGATTATTTTCAAAGCCTATTTTGTCCACCGAAAGCGCCGCTTCGTTCTTTTATATGGGATTCGATTAGGCCCTGTATAGAAAGTACCAACGACTATCGCTTTGGCCAGCCACCGACGCCCAGGAATCACTCTGGAATGCTCTCTAAACCTGGAATACCATTCATCGAGCTTACTAATCTGGACGTCAGGAATAATAATAAGGAACCAAAATCTCTAGAAATGTGATACAGGAAGTTTTAAAGTCTAGGTTTAAAAGGCAGGTTGTACAAAAACTGGAGCGTTGAAAAAAGACAGTGTACCATTACAAAGAAATCTGTGTGCCGTGGGGCTTCTGAACCAAAAGGCAGTCGCGGCCTGGCAAGGCCTTTCGTCCGGCTTTCGAACTCAGCACTTGCCGCGCCCATCGACTGAAATCCCGGCTGCTTGGCCGTTTGCAGCCTGACTCTAGCCTTTTGCGAGAGCTAGAGGGAGGGTCCGTTTGGTGGACGTCATCAGTATTATGATCGCCAGCGGAGATGAGCAGGGAATACAGACATGCAGCACTGCTCGCTCTACCGCCTCAAACTTCATTTCTCGGGAGTTCTTTCATTTTTTCTCCGCCTACTTCACCGTCTGAGGGCTATCCGCCTTTAGGTGATTTGGGGAGAAGCATTCGTCGTGTTAGATGGTTAGAGGGAGAGCAAGGTTAAGGTGTAGGCAGCTCAGAAAGCCAGTGTTATGTTTTTTTCTAAAAAGCTCCTCTGCAAAGGGTATAAAGCGGTTTCGAAGTCCCAGTTTCCTCCAAAACACGAATACATGGCGCATTCCTCATTGTGTGTGTGTGACTTCCAGTCAGCTGTTGATTTTCCAGAGCTTTTGCAATGGGACTGTTTGAATGACGAACCCCTCTGCAATCCTTATCAACATGTTAGTTTTTCATAATTTCACAAAAATCCATTTTATGACAATTTAAATCCATTTCAGTCGCAGAGAGACTATATGATAACGGTGGCTTGTTTCCTGTGCCTGGCCATTGTGTTTCAACTCATATCATTAGTATGGAATTTTGTCACATTGTAAGTACTTTTCGACATTTTCTATGAGATCTGACATCAGAGGTCTCTTAGTTGCATGTTTAGAAAACTCATGAGTGGACTATAAACCGAGGTCCATCAACTCTGAGGGGCTCCGTGAAAGCCAAATTGTAGTGAATAAAATGGTAGGTACAGCCCTCCCTGACGACCAAAATTTTGCGTTTTGTTTTGGATCTCACAGATTTGCTCAAAATGAGGCCAGCGCCAACAGTAGATGTCATTTTCATTACCAGAACCAGCATTAACCCTTACAGTTCGACTATTAGCAAAATCCATCTAGAACCTCCCACTCCAAGCAATTTTTTCCTATCCTTCTTGGCCTTCAGGGGCCTCTCAGCTGATGGTCAGTTTTGCAGTCCGAATATGATACCTTATAGCAAGCACTAAAGACCTCCTTGTTGAGCGCGAAAGGGCTGATCAGTAGTCACAGTGTGGATGAGTTGGACAATCCATCGTGTATGTGCGAACTTTTCAGCTTCGAACCAGGTTCCTTATTATCTCGAAAATCCCTTACTCTTTGTGTTTCAGCTGTGCGTGCTGCTGCAAAAAGTACATCATCCACCCGTTGATAGGATTATCCTTCCTCACCACCGTGTTCCTCTTTGTTGCCGTGATCGTGTACGTGGTGGCGCAGAACGATGCTCATGGTGAGGATTTTTATCAAAACTGGAAGTGGCTGAATAAAATATAAAAGGATAAAAGGATAAAGCATTTGCCGTTGATCAATCCCTTTTTGGGATGCGGCACGCATTCTACTTCCATTTGTACATTCGTAGTGGCGTTTGAATGCGATGTGGCCTATACAATGACTTGCGGGGGCCAGTCGTGTACAAAGGGTTGATTCCCTGACAGCTCCAGAGGTAAGCGTGACACTTGCCACAACCACTTCGCCGATACTAGCTAATAGTTGTCGCGAACTGGAAATTGGCTTGAATGCTCTCCAGGGGTGGAGTAGAGGACAAGTCTTCTAACTCAACGTCAAAGGGGTGCTAAGAGTGAAAGGCATCAAAAATCCGATTTCACAGTTTTTCGGCATCTGACTTCCATTGGTGCTGTACGGGCGAGGGCTGACGGTACAGTTTTTCATTCTAGTGGATCCCCCAGACGTTTTTTCTGAGTTTTCGATGAATTTCTCTTTCAGACCGTCAGTTCATCGATTACCGAAATGACGAGTATGGCTACTCGTTTTGGTTGGCAGTATGTGCTCTGATACTAGCAGCTATCGATACGATCGTGGCAGGATTGACAGTGTGTCTGGGAACTCGAGGGCTCTGAGCACGGAGTTCTTCTTTTCGTAATACTACCAGTTAACTGCCAAAATAGCACGGCGTAGAATACCATGATCATAGCAAAACAGGTGCTTGGAAATCTTCACAATTCCATTACATCCTAGTATCTCTCGCGTAATCAATACACTTACATTCCATTTTGAGCGGAGACTTCCCACTATTGCAATACTTTCCTATTTACGTTTTGCGTCCACACTCTGCGAATGCGCAGCCAACTGTATGAGCAAGACCTAAAGGCAGTGATGAGGCACGATTTTGATGACGTCATGGATGAAGTGTGTTAAGAGACTTTTCAGCCACACCCACAAGGCTCTCAGGGGTCTGGTGCACCAGTGCTGCTCAGTGACGTCATCAGAACCGCACCGCTCTCAAGTCATCGTGATATCGATTTTTGCGCATCGCCACGCATACAAAGCATAGGTATGACGCGTTGCTCATCCTTTAAAGCTCCCTCCTTGACCGGCATGTAAGCGCAAGTACCGGGCTTGCCACAACTGCACCTTCACTCCGGGTTAAGAAAGATCAACCCCTGAACCTCGCTGTGAGGGTCATTGGTGCCCTCATTACGAATGTGATATTCTTTATCGTGTCAGAGACAAGAATGAATGACGACAGGTAAAGTTTCAGCATTTTTTGAGGTTTGGGGTTGATAGCGGAACCAGCCGCTAGCTCTTTCCATCCCGGCCTGCAGGGGGAAGCATAGATCCATGGACGGACGCATAGTGTATATTTCCCTCAGCAACGTGGGCGCAGACCAAAGAATTACAAAGCACATTGGAGGGTTTGCGAAATCGGAACGATTTGCCGCGTCAATGGAACAGCCACTTTACCCGTCTCCCCATCTTCAGCTTTCATAAACGCAATTCCTTGATTTAATGTTCATGTCTGTATTTTTCAACACGTCACGTAGTATGCTGTGTTATTCCTCCATTGAATTTTGCACATGTGAATGCACTGATCCCAGCATTTGATATTTTGTACATTTATAAATGGGCGCAATGTGGCTCGGGGGGGGGGCAGTCGCCGCGCGCGATCTCTGCGTTTTTCTGTGCAAGCATTGCCTCTTCGCTAAATCGGGACTAAGCCTCGGGCAGGGGAGGAGGAACTCCAGGATCATAACAAAATTCATCTTCCCAAAGTTCCTGCCCATCTCCTAGGGCTTGGAACTACAGGGCGCGGACGAGCAGAGATCGCGCGGCGACGGACCCCCCTCCCCCCCCTCCGCGAGCTACACTGCGTCTGTAAATGTTTACCTGTATTATGGATTCTGCAACTAGTGAACAGATCCTCACGAAATCCTCACTTATGTTCCCTTTCGTTTCCTATGGCTCAGAGATGAGGTTCACTCGAAACCAGACATAAGTTCACGAAGAGGGGCGCTGCGAGAGCGTAGTTGTTCGACGGGTCGGTGCTTACTTATTTGTACCACAGACGATCCTCCCCTACTGCAGAGCTACGACAAGCACCTTTTAAGCGTTTACCAGGCCTTGAGCTAATCGCCACCACTAATTTGAATTGTTTAGCTGTTTACTAGCTCTCATAGCATCTTGTGATCGCGATTCGTTTTCAGTGCTCTTACCGTTGTACGTAGTCCATGATTTTCTTCAAGACATCGCTGTTTGGTCATTAATCACTTTTATAAAACTTCTGTTATATCTGCTGATGATTCTATCGATGAATGTTGTCATTTATCCGAATCTGGAGGAGGCCTCTCCCTTAAGTGTTGCAGCACCTTGGCGAAAGAGGAGACCAGCAAGACAGACAGGGAATTCGAAATCATGTTTAGAGGACGATTCTATTAGGTCGGTCCATAATTTTTGAGAACCTTTGGTGTTTTTCGATTTAATTACTTATCTTATTTCTCTGATGTATTTATTCAGCATAGTATACATCACCATTATTACCAACATATCACCAATGCGAGGGTGGGTATTCAGTGTCTCTCTTGTAGAATTTCATAGAGTTCTGATCGAAGAAATATTGGATGTCGATTTTGACTTTATGGTGATTCAAGTGAGATTTCTTCTCCAGAAGGTGATTGAGAGAGGAGAGCGGATAGTCGTTCGTTGACGCAGGATTAGTGCTACAAGGCGGAGCTAAAAGAACTGACCGCCCGAGAGTCTCCAATTTTTTAGGAATTTTCTTAGCAAGGCGGGCTCGAACGACCTCAGAAAAAAATAGATTTTGTCTTACTTTGCTTTCAAGTTGAAGGCGTTGCCATCAAGCTGTCAACGATTATCTTCATCACTGACACTGGTATTAGTTGATGCCGGTCTTCAGCGCAAAGGCCCTCCCGTATTGCGCCAACGACTCAGGAAGTTCGAATTCAGAGGGAGTTGGTTTTACTGTCAAAGCGAGAGATTACGATAAAGTGCGTATGCAGCGTGGAAGTACATGCACCATTGGAAGCAGTAGTCAGGGGCCCAAGGAAACGAAATGTTGCGTTTTTGTGGTCAAAGGTGCGCTAGTTGCAGCGTACAAGGCTTGCCATTCCTTTCTGAGCCCCGCCACGGTCTGTGCTCCGCCCCCAGCAGCAGCGCCCTTCGATTGCCAATGTGACGAGATATTCCACTTCCAGAGTGTATCCTATAACTTTTCATGGGATGCGTGATCAATCAAAGCATGATGCTTGCTGAAATGATAGAGGCTATCAGCATAACATGTGCAAACGACCTCCTAATTGGTTGCTAGCTCGTCCATTATCGGAGGTCAACGGGCAAAGAAAGGGGTCCCATTTTGCGCCTTCTTGACGGATTTCTTTGCTTTTTTCGCCACTGGGGCATTATTCAGCATCTCCACTTCCACTATGAACCCAGTCCAAACTTATCGTAATCCCTCGCTTTAAAAGTAAAACTGGAATATAGCTACGTATACAGGTTTCCAAGTCCAGATTTATGGACCTCGTTTAAGCCAAGCTGCTGCGGGCATGCGGCTTGTTAGCGCACTGCACCCAGTCCACATCACCAATGAGTATGATGGATGGTCATCCGAGAGAACCGAGGAAAACTAACAGTATCATTATGATATCAGACGGGTTTAGAACCGATTCAAGATTACAATTTTTCTTCGATCAAAACTCCATGAATTTTTCAGTTAGAGACCACACCTAGCCTCGATTAGTGATATGTCGTTTACTAATGGTGATGTAGGCTATGCCGATATATATTCAGCTGAATAGAGAAGCAATTTTATAAATTATACCCCAAAGGTTCTTTCAAATATGGACGAGCCTATCGATTAGAGTCAAAGGAAAAGTTATCTGTCGAAAGACGGCAGGGCTACGAACCGGGATTGCTGCGTTTCGGCCAGACAAAGGTATGGCCCCGAGAGGCCGTAGTGCGGCGTACTCGGCAAGTCGTGCCGCGCGTCTGACTCAGAATTAGCAGGCGATAGCGTTTAGGTGAAGGAGAGTGCACATGGAGTCCCACAGTCCAGCTCAATTGCGAAATCACGAGGAAGGAATGGTCCTTTCTCCATTAGGCGACCGCTTTCGATTTTTTTCATTTTCAGTTTTTTTGCTTTATCTTGTCATCCTTACCCCCCCTACTTGTTACAACTTTTATCTGAGCTCTGCAGTTTTTATTAGAATTAGTCCGCCACCTACATATTGTTGTCCACGTTTGGAGAAGCTGTATATTCAATGGGATTTGCAAGGTTACTTCGTATAACTCTAGCGATCAGTAGAACTCTCATACCTGAAGATTTTCAGCAATTGTAAGGGTTGCAAGTGTTGAAGATTTATGTTGGTAAAGAAGGAAGACACTCAACTCGGAATAGATGCCGACAGGTGAATGAACCTGTCTGAAGGTGAGCAAAACCTCTTGACCCATGAAAAAAGCGCTGGACAGCTGTGCTGGCCAACAGCTGTAATCACCATTGCAACTTCAGAGCAGTTCCGAGCCGTTCAGCTCAGCTTTGCACTTCTTTGCGATTTTCCGTCTCCCCTCTTGTGTTTAACATTATTATTTCAAAACAAACTAGCAATTAAATCAGCATAGCCAAAATCTCGTACAACGCAACGAAATATGTGGTCATCTTCAGAATTTTGACACAGCTGAGAAAGCATGATACGCTTACTACACGTTCTGACTCAAACTCGGGGATAATATCTGAATTTCTATCTAAAAAGTGGGCTGGAGCTGGATTCGGTTTCAGCCCGTTCTTTTCATCGCCTATCCCGCAGTACTTGATTAACGATTTGCTTCAATTGTGCGGCGGTCTCTTTAGTGGCCGTTACTTCAAAGTAAACGGTTTTACTGAGAGTGAAGTTCGGAGCACAGAGCGCATCATTTTGATTGATGACTATTTTTCGGGAGACCGCGGTTCACCAACAATTACACGTGCCCTTTTGTAGTTTTTCCTTTTTTTATTTCGGCTATAGAAAATCCACTGATGCCGAAGAACTCAAGCTCCCCTCACTGGTTTGTAAGCATAATTTGTGTTTTCTTTAGAGATTTAGGGGCTGGAAGGCTTCGTTCCTGGTGAATGCTGGTGCAATCTTTTGCCATAACAGTGTTCCTGTTCGTCGCTGTGATCGTGCACGTGGTCTTCTATAAGGAGGAACTTGGTGAGTTCAAATTCACAGTGTGAGAAAGTGGGTGTTCGGCCCTGATTGACGCGGACTAGTACGCCACGCATTCTAATCAATGAGGTTTAAGAAACAAGCGGTAGAGTGAAGCAATTTTTTCCTACACCATTACATTAATGAGAGTAGCTGGAGTCCAGGCAAGGCAAGCCTCTGTTTCCATCTTTATGGAGGCATTGAAAATATCAAAATATCTTTGGTTCAATGGTGAGCGGATATTAAACACCGTTACTAATTATTTAGTTAATTCGCACTTAATATTTTAATTATTTCACATGAGTGATGGGTTGAACAACGTTTTTAGGTGGGAATGAACCCGCGCCTCTCGGTTAACCGTAATTGTGCGCTACAAGTTGCGCTACCTGGGCACCGT